ATGCAGCTGTTACCTGCCTGGTCTCACCTCCCATCACATCCTCTCTCTCTCCTGCCTTCCTGCTCTGCCCTTCCTGCCACCAAACCCGGGGGTCCAAACATTTTCTGGACTTCCCTGCCCTTCTCCCTTCTCTCCAAAAGTTATCCAAATCTTTCAAGACTCAGCCCAAATCTCACCTCTTCCAGAAAGCCCTCACAGCCGTCCCTGGTTGGAATAACTCTGTCCTTGGCCTGTGTGCTGAGACGGAATGTTCTTTCAGCATCAGCCACAACTCACCATGCATGAGGTCCCTTCTCAGTGCGTCTGTCTCCCTGGGGGCATAACCACAGGGATTGCTCGGTATGTAACTGACACCTGCCCACATCACAGGCAGCAGGTGATGGTAAGCAGGCCATTAGAGAGTCCTGAGGACATCTCTCTTCATTGACATGAAAAAGCTTAGGCTTAGAATCCATACAAATTCCATGTAAAAAGCAAGAAGGTAAGATGAAAACATGATGGATGGGATTTTACTCTCAAAATCTATTTTCTTTAAAATTTTCTATGTTCTATAAAAATAAAATAGTTTTAGCACAGCCGGCATCTTACATAAATGAAGATGAGCCCTACTTCTTCATTCCATTAAATTTTAATGAGTTCATTCACTCATTCACCAGACATTAATTGACTGATCGCTCAAGAGCTATACAAGCTGGCAAATATTCATAACAGGGAGTGAGAGAGGATAGTGCAGGGTTAACTGCACAGACTCTTCAGCTGAACTGGCTGTGTGTAAATGCCACTCTGCCACTTACTAGGCATGTCACCTTAGGTAAATAAGTCACAAACTCTCAGCATATCAATTTTCCCATCTATAAAATAGAGACAATAATGGTGGCACCCATCAATGTTGTTATGAGGATTAAACAAACTAATATATATATAATATATAAAGCAGTCAGAATAGAGCCCTGAAAGGATAGAGGGAATGGGGAGGGACGGGACAAGAATAACCCATGGGATGGCGGGCCAACTGGATGGAGTAAGAGAGGGTAGATCTGGGGTGGCCCCAAGTTTTTGATTTAGGCCACCATGGGGCGTTAGTACCCAAAACAGGAAATCCAGCAGGAGGATCTCGCAGGTGGCCGTGTCTGTGAAGCTGTGGGGAGGGGCGGGCAGAGGTGATGGCTTCAGTGTGGAGCATGCTGTGTTTGAGTGCCACTCCTAGGTGTTGTTCTGCTGCGTGGTGTTTTCCTGGGCCCCCACCCGACACACACACTTTTAGAACACAGTTACTGTGTCTTACTCATTTCTGTATCCACCCCCTCAACCTCCCCGCCCACCCCAGCACCCCGCCAGGCCTATGCTCTCTGCTCAGGGGCTGCAGCTGAACTGGGTTTAAAGGGATCCAAGCTTGCTCCCTGCCCAACCCTCTAGATCAGATAACTGTATCACAAACAGCACCACTCCACCTCGCCAGCCTCTGAATTAGTGCTGTGCTGCCCTTGGGGAGTCCAAGAGAAGCCCCCCTTCCACCTGAGGGGGCCAGCCTGCCGGGGACCCTGCTGTCAACCCCAGAGCTGCCACATCAACCTTGGGACTGGGCTCTCTTCAAAGCTTTCCCATCTCCCCACAGGAAGAGGACATGGGCCAGAGGCCCCTGCAGCAATGGGAGGAATGGATGGAATGAAGAGAGTGACAGTGAAAGCATTGAGAAGGTCAGTCCCACATTTACTGGTCCCATAGAACGATGGCTCCTTGGAGACATTTGTTCACAGGAGGATGGAAGCCTTACTCGCCGCCCCCCCTCCCCAACTCCCATCCCTGCTGGCCACCCAAGCAAGGTGCTGCCTGGAGTGAACCCATAGCTCTTGGGCTTTCTCTGCTTCCCACAGGGCCATCAGTAAGGAAAATTAAGACAAAAGACCCCAGTTTGATGTAAATCCAGAGGCAGCCAGACCCCAACAATGGAGCACTTTCCTCATCCCACGTTCCCCTGGAGCATCCTTGGCTCAGCAAGCATGAGCTGGGCTCCCCTGAGAGCTGAGCGTGGAAAGGAGCCCCACATCATCATGGGGGAGTGAGTGTGCCTATATGTGCACCCATGCGTGCATACATGCGAGCCTGTGTACTCATGTGTGCACATGTGTGAGAGTGTGTGCACCCACGGGGCATGTGGGCATGGCTGCATGCTCACACATGCACTCATGGTGCTCATGTATACATCTATGTGTCTGCATGTATGTCCATGTATATGTTGCTGATGTGCATGTCTGTGTGTGCCCACGTGCGTATGTACGATGAGCGTGCATGTGTGTATTTCCAGAGTAGAGAGAGCAGTGGGGTTCATTTTTGCAAAGTTGCTAATCTGTTTGTGAGCAAGTAGGTAGGAGTGGGCCTGGGTGTCATTGTGGGAATAGCAGCCATATGTTTACTGTGAGGGAGGATTTCTGCCCAGGTGTTTGGGACTGAGGACAGGTCAGGTGAGGTGGAGCAGCCATCCTTCCGGCTGAGGCCCTGCCTGTCCTTCTCAATCTTCTTGGGGTCACCTCCCAGGGCCTTTGCCAAAAGTGCCCCAGTTTGATGCCCTGGGTTGGGCTGGCCTGCCCAGCAGGAAGGCACAATCTCTTGGAGGCCCTGAGGAGGGGTGAGCTCAGTCTCTGAAAGCTGAAAGAGGCACGTGGAAGTGTGGGGCGTGAGCAAGAATTCACTTCAACTCCTCCAGCAGTTGCTGGTAAAGAAGATGCATTCTCAGTGGGAGGCCCTGCTCTGGGATGGGAGGGTCCCAAGGTGAGGGGGGGGGCTCTGTCTGCTCTAGCAGTGGAGACTAGGTGACACCACTCAACAGATCCCCAAATACCGTGGGGGCCTCAAGGGGCAGCATTTGAATTAGGTCATAAACGACTGGAAGAATGTCAGAAGAAGGAAGTGGGAGGGAAAGGGGGCATTCTAGGTGGCAGACACAACTGGAGCAGAGGCACCGAGGTGAGAAAATGCAGGGTCTGCTTGAGAAAGTTAGGGCTGAAAGAACCTCAACGCTCCTCTGGAGGCTGCCTTCTTCAGGCATGTGGGAGAAAACCAGGGGTCAGAAAGAAAGTGCTTCTAAGAGCTAGAAGCAGAAACGAGGTGCCCTGACTTCCAGGTCAGTGCTCTTTCTGCTGCTCCAGAAAGCCCGCGAGGAAGAGCGCCAGGGACTCAGACGGTTGATTTTGCTTCCTTTGCTTTCTCATCCCCAGCTGATGAAGGGCTGAGTCAAGGCTCCCTGTTCTTGGCCTCCCTCTGCCAGCGGCTAGCTGTGTGACACTGAATAAGTCACTTTACCTCTCTGAGCCCCTCATTTCTGATTGGAAGGGGCTATAAGGCCTTGCCTCACTGGGCAATGCTCCCCTTGACTCCTTAGTGAGTGAAAATTTGTCTTAGTCATCCTCCTACCCCTAGCACCCAGCAGAAGCTACAGCACAAGGTTGGGGCTCAAATATGTGTTCTCAAATGAAGGAAAGAAGAAATGTGGAGCTCCATGACTCTCCTTCTACCACCCTCCTTTGAGAGCCCCAGCCTCTCCCCTCTCCAAGCAGGCCAAAGGGTGAAGGAGGCCCAGAATCATGCAGACTTTGAAAGGGAAGGCAGAAAAGATAAATAACCTAATTGTGCAGAGGCCCTAGCTCTCCCCGTCTCTGGGTAGATGCCCTTGAGAGTGCCCCTCCTTGCAGCCTTGGCTTTGCTGAAATCTGCCGTGGTGAGGGGGCTAAGAGGGGGCACGGACCCAGAGCAGAACACAGGGGTGGCTGGACCCAGGAGGAGCCCTGGCAGGCCTCTCTCTCACTCCTGCTCTTCCCCCTCTCTGCCTCTCTGCTCCCAGAAGTGTCCCAAGCCCTCTGTCCCAATCGTGAGGGGTTGGGTTGGCTCTGAACCTCCTGTTTCCCGTGCCAATCATTCCTTAATTTTTTCAAAGTCCCATAACTCTCCTTTTTTGAGGCCCCCCCTTTCATACTAAAATTTGTATTGCTCACTTCCCTCTTCTGTGATGGCAGCTGTATTTCTTTTAACTTTGTAAAATACACACACACGAAACTGATCCATGGTGATAGAAATCAGACCGTAGTCATCTCTGGGGTGAGGACTGACTGGGAAGAGGCACAAGGGAACTAAGGGGTGCCGAAAAAAGTTCAAAATCTTAATCTAGGTGATGGTTACACGGAAATATGCATTTGTCAAAATTCATCGAGTGGTACGCTTAAGATCTGTGCATTTTACCGTATGTAGATTATACCTCAATAAAGTACTGCTAGCATCTAAAAGACACACAAACAGAGAAATACCAAGAACAGCCATGCTTAGCCTGTGTAAATACCACCCAGAATGCTGGGTGCCCTGTCTAGTCCACAATGCCCGGCGGTGACCAAGTGGCTCCCCTGGGACGCCAACACCCCCCAACTGGGCATCTCCACTCCAGACACCATGCTCCCCTTGCTCCCAGTTTCATAGGGATGGCATGGAGCCCATGGGCTTTGGAGCCTAGAATTTCCCATCAGTGCAACCCCAAGCTTGACCGTAACTCCTGTTCTGGTGAGTTGAAGGAACAGAAAACACACCCGTTTCCCCTTTCTGGGAGGGGGGTTTCCGTCCTGGCCTCCCCAGGCTGAGTCTTGGCTGGGGGGTGGGGGGATGTCCCCAGTGAAAGTCAAGGAGAAATGTGCCTGCCCTGCATCCCTGCTAAAAATAACGCGGGTGCCTCGGAGCGGCAGGAAGGACAGAATCATGTTTTGCTTTAAACCTCGAAGCGGCTCAGCAGTTGGGGGCGAGCGATCCGAGAACCCTGACGGTGCTCTCCCCACCCCCCAGCTGCAGCTGGTCCTCTCGGGGGTGTCTGGGAAGGGTGTGTGTGTGTGTGGTGACAGGGCCTCCCAGCAGAGCGGGAAGCTGTGGAAGGTTAAGGATGGGTGGGGAGGGGTCTCTGTCCCGCTAACTGGAGTGTGCGCAGGCTGGAGGGGCCAGAGTCACGTACTCCACGGGGTCCCCACCTCCTCTGAGAAGCGCTCTGTCCCAGCAGCCCAGGCCCGGCTCCCTCGGCGGCCCCTGCCCTCCTGCCGCGTGGCCGCCTGCCCCTCAGGGGCTCCTGGCACATACAGGGCTGGGGATTGTCACTTCGCAGTCCCCGTCTCTGTCTGGCTTCCGCTCTGCCCAAAGAGATCGGGAGGTCCTCAAGGGCGGGTGCGGTCCAGCACGGAGGAATTTCCCTGGAAACGGGAAGTACAAGATGTGTCAGTGTGGGATCCCAGCACGAGGAGAGAGAGGCTGAGTAAAGGGAAGGGGCCCTCCTAGCCACCCTCTCTTGCTCTCTCTCCTCCCACAGCTCCCCCACCTGGCTCATGCATCAGAGGCCTCCCACGGGGGCAGGACCATTCTGCGGCTGACCTGTCTTCCAAGGGAATCAAGAACTACCACGAAATGACTGTGTGCCATGTTCCAGGCACCGGACTGAACCTTATACGAATTAGCTAATTTAAATCCTCTCAGCAAGCCTGTGATATTGGAATTATTACTCTCCCTATTTACAGATGACAAAACTGAGGCTTATGGTGAGGTAGTGTTCATCCCAGTATCCCACTGGTAGTACATGGCAGAGAGAGGGCTCGAAGTCATGATCTGGGACACAGAGAATGTCCAGGATGATCACCCAGAGAACAATGAGATAGAATTTTGGAAACTGGACCTTCCTAAATAATCTAGGACTCATGGTTGCTGTACTTGATACCTTGGTAGAAAAAAGAACAGTCACTTTAGAGCCAAAATTTGTACTACCAGATACAATTTTGGCCAAGGAACTTAACCATTCTGAGCCTCAGTTTCCATCTCCACAAAATGGGTACAATAATCCTTGCATAGAATTGCTGGGGAGTACTGAATCTAAACCCAGCATTTTTCCTAAACCTTGAAAACACCAAACTCCCTCCTGCCTCAAGGCCTTTGCATGTGCTATTTCCAATGCCTCAAACCCTAAGCCCCCAGATGTTCATGTACTGGTTTGTTCTCGTCATCTAGGTCTCAGTTCAAACAGAACTTTCTCTAGAGCAGCTTTCCCTGACTACCCAGCCCATCCCATTATTCTCAATTGCATCACTGTTTTATTTTCTTTGCACTTATCATGATCTGAAATTATCTTGCTAATTTATTTGTTTTGTTTGTTTATGCCCTATCCCCCTGCCCAACTGCCAAGGATATAAGTTTCTTAAATGCTGGGACCTCTGTGGGGTTCAATGACCCATGCCTGGTGCTCAGAGCAGCACTTGGCAAACATCAGAACCTGCTAAACATTTATGAATGAATGAATGCTTGCACTTTGGAAACAGCATTATATTTAAGTGTCTGACCCTCCCACAGGCTTCCCTGAGCCAAAAGGCAGTAAATGTGGGTTAATGGGGGCTCAAGAGTGCTTTTGGGCCTGGCCCACGCCCAGCCCTGAAGCTCCCAGGCTGCAGGGAGCCATGGGGCTGCTCCAGCTTCCGGCTGCTCCAGGATAAAGGTCAACCCTTTTGCTGGAACATGGGGTTCTGCACCATCTGGGCCTGCCTGCCTCTGGCCTCAGCATCCTGAGCTCCACGTCCACACCAGTCCAAACAACTCAGAGTGCCTGCCAGAGAACATGGGGCTGCTTCACGCCTGTGTGTCTTTATAGATGCTGTTCCTTCTATCTGGAACACCCTGCACCCTTGCTCTGCCTGGCTAGCTCCCCACAGACTTGAAGACCCACCTCCTCGGAGTCCTCCCTGACCCCTCTAGCCACACCCAATCCTCAACTTTCTGGGGCATTATAATGATCTGTTGAAGGCAACAACCAGCTTTTGTGCTCCCAGGTTGAAGCACAATGCCTGGTGCACACAGGAGGTGCTTAATAGATGCTCTGGCACAGCTTTTGGACTTTGAGTCCCCAGGCTTTAACACAATTCCTGCGGCACACAGTAGGTGCTCATTAAGTGCCCACTGAATGCACGAACCTGAGCAATCTGACACTGGCAGAAGCTGGAGGCGAGGTGAGGAGTAGGGATGGGGGTAGGAAGGGAAGATGCTGCTCAGAAACAAGGGGTCATCAGAGGGAAGAAGGCAGAGGGGACCTTAGGAAACTTCCCAGAAGACTGGACATACAAAAAGCAAAAATAAGAAGTAAACACAGACGGACGGAGGCATATACACAGGGCTCTCAGTGAGGAAGGACAGAGAAAGAGAGAAGGAAGGATAGAAGAGGAAGAATAAACGGGACTCGGAAGGGACAAAATGTACCCATGAGAGCCGCAGAGGACAGGAAGCCAGAGACCAGGACAGGCCAACTAATACAGGATGTCTGGTGCCCTTGCTTCAGTCCCTGGGGTAGATAAGGGTAGCATGGGCCTCGTGGTGCTGTGGTCTGTTCCTGGGGTGACAGGGCTGGGTGAAATCGCATGTCACCAGGTTTGGGGACATCTTGGGAAATTCTTTCTCTCTTAGCTCAGGAGAAGCCCTGTATTATGAAACAAAGCAACCCAGATATCACGGTCTCAAACCTGGTTTCTTAAAGCTCAACCCTTTTGCTAGAATGGGGGCTCTGCACCATCTGGGCCTGCAACTTAGCTCCTCTTGCCTCAGTTTTCCCATCAGGAAAGTGGGTGTTACTCTCCTTACTTTAGAGGAACATTACGATCATACTGTGTCAGGGCGTGTAAATGAAATAAACACAGTCTGATACAAATGCCAGGGACTGATATAACGGTGGTCATTTCTCCCAAAGCCCTGCCATGAGTGGGTTCTAGGAGAGGCCATGGCACCATGTCACTGGGTGCCACAGGCGGACCTGAGTTCAGAGCCCTGGAACTCAGGCTCATTCCCTGGTTTTTGGATCCCAGTGCCAGATCAATACAACAAGGCAAAGTTTATTTCCAGGTGAGGGGGTGAGCGGCACAGGCATGCCAGCCGGCCAAGAGACACCTGAGGCTGCCCACAGCCAGCAGGCCTGACCATCCAACTCCACCACTGAGCATCCTCTGGATTTCAGCCTGTCAAAAGGGCTGCGAATGGTTTTCTGGCTGTCAGATTATACCTCAAGGCATGCCTGACCTCTAAGGAGCCAGAGTTCCTGGAACCATTTGAAGGCAGAAGGGAATAAGACTCTGAGCCTTGAGTGATGGAGGATTTACGATTTAGGCCCCTGATCTAAGCAAGCCAGTAGACCCTTTAGAGTGTCGGCTTTGACATCAGACAGACCTGAGTGTGAATCCCAGCTCTGTCACTTCTCTGAGCCTCAGTTTCCTTAACTGTCAAAGAGGGCTAACCATAGTACCCACCTCCCAGAGTTGCTGCGACAAGTAAATGAACTTGAGCATATAAAGCCCTAAGCCCAAGGCTTGGTCGCTAGTGGGCAATCAATATTACCTATTATTGTGAATAATAATATCACATGCTCCTGGGGGAGGAAGGTCAGATCATAAATGGATCCATCTCTGAATATCTAGCCACTTTGAGGAGGTCACAACTCAGAAAATCATGAAGTCACCAAGTGTCAAATTCCCTTTTGCAGCCTCTATTAGGAACGTGTGACTCCTATCCCCCCCGCCCCCACCTCTGCTGTGTTCTCTGTGACTGATAGGGGACGATCACAGATTAGCAGGTCTGCCCGTTTTGGGGCGGGGTGGGCAACTTAAATAGAGCCTTCAGCTCACTTGTCCAGCTGGACTCAAGAATATTGCTGAAGTGCACAGGAAAACAAGGGTGGCAAGGAGTCAGGGATCAACCACAAATGCCTGGAGAACCTTGAGCCCCAGCTCAGAGAGTCCATGGCCTCAGAGGCAGTTTCAGGGCTGGGTGATGGGAGTGGGATATGGGACTGGGGACTTCACCCTTCTGAAATCCAACTTCTCTCCTCCAGGGCTTTCTCTGCACCCCACCCCCGACCTCCCACAGGAGTTTAGAGCCCAAGGACGGAGGGACTTGTGGGGGCGTGGGGGGGGGGGGCCAGGTGGGAGGTGGGCAGATGAGAGGAGTGACTGACAGCAGGATGCCGCGGCTGAAGAAGGGAGTATAAATATAAAGGAGCCAGTGTAGGACTGGACAGAGGCCATATGAAACACACGGTACATTCCGGCCCCAGTGTAACAAACTGTACCAGCCTTTTTGAGAGCTGGGAGCACTGAGGAGGGGAGGGAAGAGAGCAGAGGTTCCTTCGAGGTTGGCCCTGCCTCCTCCTCCCCCACTTCTCCCACAGCTCGGGCACCACTGGGAAAGTCCCGATGTCCTGATGTTCCTTTTGCAACCACAGGAAACCTACTATCCCAGCTCACACTCTGTACCCAGTGTTCTTTTCAGCAGCTCCAGACTGGGAGGGAGCAATGAGTGGGGGAGGGAGGGTGTCGCGGGGATGCAGGCAGCCATAGCAGCCCAGGTAACATCAAGGGAGGTGGCGATCACGGCTTGGACACTGACTCACAGTCACAGCCTGTAAGCACTGCAACGGAGGTACAGATGACGGCGAGATGTAGGGAAGGAAGTGCCTTGCCCAAGGTCACACAGCCAGTTGTTCACCCGGGTGGGACCAGAGTGCATCCAGAGCTGGGTAGTGCTGGGCAGCTCTCTTGGGTGTAGGGTGTAGGAGTGGCAGGCCAGGGAACAGGCAGTTCCCTGGGGACTGAGGGTGGGGAGCCCAGACCTAAGCCTGCCCATATGCTCTGGTCGGCTCCAGGCAGGTCTAGCTTGGGCAACTCCCCTCCACTCCCCACAAACTTACCCTCCCCCCGACCTTAAACATTAGAGATAATGCATGCAAAGTGCCTAGCATGGAGACTGGTGTGTGGTGATGTCAACCAGGATGAGTCACCTCCACGCCTCCTCTTTCCTCCTCCACACACACAGCTCAAGGCCTAGAATCTCCTGGGATCCTTCTCCCTTATCACCACCTTCTTCCTTCTGCGTCCCTATAGCTCTTACACAGGTTCGGTACTCACCACCTGCTGGCTCGGGTTATTATTTAACCTCACATGCTGTGTTTGTCTCTTCAACTGGCCTGCAAACTGCCCAAGGGCAGGAAATCATTTCAATACACCCAGCATTTATTGAACATCAACTGCAGGGCCAAGCTGGGCCCGAGGGGGGATGAGCTGGAGTGATGGGAGAGGCCTCAGAGAAGCAGACTTTGTTTCTGCTTCAAGGACTTTCTAATCTGGTTAGAAGAACAGGATTGGTAAACAGATCTCTAGAATATGAGACAGGCCACACGCTGTACCATGAGAAAGGTAGGAACCCAGTGTGCGGGGCCTTCAGAGGGGAGAGGAATCAGATTTGGCTGGCCCTGTTCCAAGCAGGCTTTCTGAGCTGTTGCTTGGGAGATGGGTAGACACAGAGGATGGGCATTCCTGGCATGGGAAATGGCACAGCAAACTGTGGAAGTTAGAAGGAGGGAGAAGAAAGGACTTCAGGAATTGTGTCTTGAACTTTTTTATGGCATCCTTAGCAGGAGCAAACAGAGCCTTCCAAATGGTAGGTGCTCAGTACGTAAGTCCTTTGTCCCTTCCTTGGTTTAGAGATGATGGAACCTTCAGGACCAGCACTCAGGGACATCTTTTGGCAGAAAGATGGGTAAGGAGAAAACCCCGCTCTGAAGAAACCCGTGTTTGAAGCTGGCCAAAGGGAGGAGTCAGGCTCCAGTTTGGGGTCGCCTTCTCCCACCCTGCCATCCATTCCCACCCGCTAGTGTCTGGGCGCTTCCCACTCCTGGCGTCCTGCCAGGGGTTTCCCAAGCTATCCCAAAGGGCTGGGCTTGGTTTGCAAGCCCCTGGGAATCCCTGGAGTCTCCAGGATGGTGTGAAGAACGGATCAGAGAAGCAGCCGAGGAACCGAAAGGCTCCTGGGCGATCGCTTGAATTGGCCCCTCTAACGGGCTTCCGTTGTCACGTGACTGCATCCCAGGTCTCCAGCTATCCTCCTCCAGACTGGACTGAGCGCTAGTGGGGCTTGGGTGGCAGCCTGGGTGGCTCCCTCTCCCTCATGGAGCTACCAACACCTGCGTCCCCCCCCCTTCCCAACTGTGCTACTCCAGGCCCCACACACCTGGGGTTCCAAACCTGGGCTCACGTGGGGGATGGACAGATCTGCGTGCTCTAACGCTGGCGGCCGGGCAGGGCAGCGGGGCCCAGCCGGCCGGGGCGCGCGTCCCTGGGGTTGCGCTCCGGTCCCCGGCTGTGCCTGGTGCCTGCGCCCGGCCCCGGCCCCGGCGCGCGTTCGCAGGGCTGCGGCGGCGGGGAGGCTGCGCGCCGAGCGCAAGCCGCGAGCACAAACAGGGCGAGGAGGCTGGTGTGAGCGCCTGGGCCTGGTGCCAGCGCGCCGGGGCTGGAACACAATGTCCCGAGCGGGCGGGCGAGCGGGGAGCGAGAACAGCCTGACTCAGCAGCTGGGTAAGTGGGTGTGCTCGCTCACCAGATCAACCGCTCTTGCAGCCTGCGGTCAGCGACGACCCGACTCTCAGAGGCTCCCTCGAGCGGGGAGGGGCGAGCGCAGGGCCGGCTCCTCGGCTCCCGCCCCTGCCTGCCGCTCGGGACCTCCACGTGGCTGGTTTGCGCATCCCTCTGCTTTCTCGCCCCTCCATTAAAGCGTCTCACAGCCCCCAGGCTGAGCGGAGCAGACTCTGCCCAGCTGGGAGGGGCACTCTCCTCGCCCAAGCCGGCAGGTGTGGCCGGGCATACAGCTGCTTGTGTGCATGTCCCATTTTCCCCAAACCCCACCGCTTGGGAGGCCTCGGGAGGTTTGGGGCGGGGGATGTAACTCTTAGTTGCCGATGAAGGTAGAAATTTGTTCTAGGGTGTTGGGGAGCAGAGGAAGAGGATGCTGGGAGACATGGGATATAGGGCAAGAAGAGTGCCCCCATTTCTGTCCTCAGCTGACCGGAGTTCAGAGTGTCTTCCTGTCCCCTCCCCTCAAAACCACTAGGCCCCTGAAGATTTCCTCAGAGGGAGGGAGAAGCAGGTGGGGAGGTCCTCTGAAGCCTGAGACCCTGCTTTTCTGCCTTACCCACCCTCCCACCCAAAACCACAACAAAGACCCGGGAATCCTGCCACCCAGCCACAAAGCTTCTCCTTCCTCCTCTGCGCCTGCTGTCCCCTATGGTCTGGTTGGGGCCATTGTGAGGATGACAGCCCCAGGGTGGAGCTCAGATGGCAGACCAGAGCAGGACTCTTCCTGGGGGCGGGGACCTGACCCACGCCCCAGCCTCCTGGGGTGTCTACAAGGTGTCCCAGGGGACACGCTGTGCCTGGAGTGTGCCAGGGCAGGCAGGGAGGGGCTCCGTCCTCTGCTGAGTTCCAGGAAAGGCCCTGGCAGTCAGTGCAGGCCTGGGCTCCAGGCCTTCAAGGGTGGGGCTGGGGGAGGGACCCCAGGCTGCTGAAGAGCCTTACCTGGGCCTCTTGCCCCGGGGCCCTCCTGATGACATCTCTGGCACCCTCTGTAGCCAAAGGTGGGGAGATGGATGCCAGCACAGGCCTGGGCCATGGACCACCTTCCCACACATACAGCATACTTTCCACACGTGTGCTCACCCAGCCAACACTCACCAAATCTCCCAGTCAGGAGGTGCCTTCGTTGTTGTCGCTTCCAGCCTTCTACCTGACGTATGAAGTCTCTCCATGGTGTCCCAGGTCAGTGATTGTTCTGAAGCTGTTTGCACACCTATAGTGACAGGGACACTCTCTCGCAAGGCAGCCCGCTGCCCTTCTGGACTTCCCTATCTCCAAGTCCAGTCACCTACAGGACACCTGCCCTCACATGGCCTAGAAGTGACTGAACTCATCCTCATGTCCCTCATACTAGCTCCTCCCTATTGCCCACCGTGACTCTCCCAACCCCCAAACTCACCATGAAAGTGGATTAATTTTTAACTATTTTCTCTCCTTCACCATCCTATAGCTGATCTATTACCAGATTCTTCCTTTTGCTGCTTTTATTACAAGATGTACTGTTGGTTATTTTTCTCATTCACCCCTTCCTCTCCAACCCCAAAGATTCCACCTCAGGCCCCAAATCCCACAGCGGCTGCCACACTGTCCTTTCTGCCCTAGGTTTTTCCTTCCTCCTACACACTCTGCTGGAATAATCTTTCTCACACAGTTTATTGTGTATGTTATCAACTTCAGACTCGTCAGCCAGGCGCACTGGGTACCCCAGCAGCTAACGTGTGTGTCCCATATGAAGAGACTGGGACTCATTCATGGTGTGCCCAGACCACAGAGTCCAGCACAGGGCCTGCTGCACAGCACGAGGGCAGCAGACACTTCTCAAGTGGTTGTGCTCCTTTCTCATCTTTCCAGTTCTCTCTCCTGACTTGGTCTCCCCATTCCCATCAAGCCTGTTGGCTTCCTGCTGCTCACTCAGGCCCTTTTGTTTTAAGGAGCCACTATTCTTTATTCCCCAAAATCTTCAGAGTGGGGTGGGGAAGGGAGAAGCTGATATCCAAGTTAACATCGGGGGTTTGTGCCAAATACCAACTGCAGAGACCTTGAGTGCAGAGTGAATGAGTGCAGCTGCCCGCTGGGAGCCTCTGCTCTAGGAGGAAACAGAAAACCACTGAGGAGGGTGGAAGGCAGAAAGGGGGATATGTGCAACCGGTGGCTTTGGGGTTTATAGAGGGATCTTCTTGCCACTGGAGATTCCAGCCTGCCTAGCTCTGGGACCCTGGTCTGATGCCCTTAGATTGTTCCCTTCCTTGGCATCACATCTCACGCACACACTCAGTGATCCTGGCCCCATCACCACCTCATAACCCAGCACAAAATCCACCTCCTGCAGGAGGCTCTGATCATCTCCATCCGACTTGGGTCATTTTGTCATCAACTTCCCCCTGAGCCTTATGAGCTGTCTTCAGTCTTTTCTCTATTTTATTGCTTTTTGTTGCTTAGTTGTCTCCTCTAGTATTTTCAACCTGCCAGATTATAAACTCCTCCCTGGCAGGGACAGTCTCTTATTTATTGATTTAATATCATCGATTTATTTTGAAAAGGAAGCATGAGATCAGGCCCTTGGACTTTGGAGGCCACAGAGACCTGGGTCTGGAACCTCGCTCCAACACTTCACTGTTTGGCCTTGGGCAAGTCTCTTAACCTCTCTGAGCCAGCTTCTTCATCTGTAAAAGGTGCTAGTGATACTGCCCTTGCAGAAGGCGAGGCGAAGGTTACAGAAAATACAAAGTGCCAGGAAAATGCCTGTAGCAGAGCCAGCAGATGATAGCTGTCTTCCTTCCCTGCCCCACTGGAGCCTTCCCTGAACTGGCAGACAAGGTTCCTTAACTAGCCCCCATACCGGGACACTTTTCAGCGTGAAAAGGGACACTATTAATAATGACACCGGTTCCACAGACGTAACCCGGGATGCCTGGCAACCCTTCCTCACAATAACTGGTGAGAGCAGGGTTCGGATCCAGCGCCTCTGTAACCCACTGCCTAAGCATGGCGCCAAGCACAGTTCAAGCTCAATAAACGTTTGTTGAATGAACCAGCGAACAGAACCTGTCCTTCCTTCAGTTTCTTGGAGCATCAACTCCAAGTGAAGGAGCAAAGATTGAAAAGCCCGCCCCCGCCGCTTCCCCACCCCGACTCGGGTCCCCAAGCCTCGGGCTGACTCCTTTCTCTGAGGTCTCCCCTTCTCCAGCCCGCCTCCCCGCCCCCGGCTGCCTTGGAAACAGTGACGTATTCTTGAGGGGCGTGACCTCTCTCCATCCTCTTCTGGAGCTCGGGGCCCCTTCTAATTCCGACCAGGGAGGATGAGGTGGGGGTCGGCCCCCTACCACCCTTCTCCACCGCCTGGCATGAAGCTAACTACGCCCACCTGGCCACTCCCTTCGGGCGCGTGGCTCGCTCGTGTGTGGGCAGCCCACCCCCAGCCCACCCCGCACCAGTCAACTGGCGGGGTCCGGAGAACGTTGGCCTCCTTCCCTGCGATCCCTCTCCAGCCCGTCACCCCCAGCACGCCAGTGGATCCCGAGAACGCGGGCGGGCGCTCAGCCCAGGCCCGCCCCTCCCCGGGCAGCCCTCGGGCTGGCTCCGCGTCCTGGGAGGTGGGCGGGAAGGGTGGGACCCCAGGGGCACCCGGGCGCCCCGGAGCGCGGGAGGGAAGGAGTTAAACAAGGTGCCGGCGCCGGGCGCGGCGGGAGTGGGGGAGGGGAGCGAAGGGAAAGTGAGAGCGGGGGCGGGGGGGCGGGGGGACTGGAGCGAAAGAACATCCTGTGCCCGCCGCCGGATGCGCGCGGGGGGAGGAGGTAGTCCGGGGAGGGAGGGCAAGATGGGGGGAGGCCCCGGGCGGGGAAAGGCGCGGCCTCCGCCCCCCACCCGGTCCTCCTCCCCTGGGGGCGCCGCCCCCTCCGCTCCCAGTGCCTTCCCCGCCTTTCTCCCAGTCCCCACGCTTTCGGCTGAGTAACGAGCTGCCGAGAGGCCCCCGAATCTAGTTCCTGGGCCAGGGTAAGCGCTTGCTGGGGAGGGGACGGTCCCGGGGAGTGTAGGATCCACGGCAAGGCACAGGCGGCACCCCCAGCCTTTCATCTCCCCTCTTTCTGCGGGGAGAAGCTCGCACGTGGTGAGCGTCCCCAGTGCACCGTGAGCCCCAACACGCGTTCTCTCGTTCAGTCCCGACGGCAGCACTTCCCGGTAGTAGGTTAGGTATTAATAGACCCGTATTCCGGAGGGAGAAACTGAGACTCAGATCATGCAATTTGCCCAAACCCAAGCCGGTCGGACTCCAACGGGCTTTTCATTAGAGTCCGGAGTAGGCTCATTTCCGCCTAGTTTGTCCTATGCACACAAGCGCTGGGCCCCTCCAGGGTCACCCTCGGAAGGCCTAGCTCTGTGGCTTGCGCGGTAGGCCCCCCATAGCGTGTTAGGCTCCTTTAGTTAGTCCTGGTAAAAAGAATGAGGAGGTAGTCCTAGGGTTTCACAGGTGGGAAGGTGGTTTTTAGGAACAAAGTGGCTCAGGGGAATGGGCTGGGGGATAGTGCTGCTGCTTTAGGCATTTGTGAGGTCTTCAAAGCCGGCTCAAGAGTTCTTCAAGCCAGTTTAATGGGTTGCAGGAGTTGAGGCTGATGAGGCTGAAGAAGACCAGGGTGGGAGGGGTAGAGGGTGAGTGGGAGGGGCCGAATAATGTGCTTTTCTGCCTCATCAGGGCCCACCATCTGTGTGCTCACTGCTTTCCCACGCCCAACGTTTTTTGTCCAGGTGAAACCTGCTTCTAATAGTAATTATTATTATAGTCAACATTTGGTGAGCTCCATGTGCTGGGCACTGTTGCAAATGCTTAATCTTCACAACCCATGAGGTAGGTATTATTATCATTCCCATTTTACAGGTGGGGAAAATGAGGCACAAAAAGACCACAAAGCAGAGTCGGTGGCTGAACTGGTTTTGAACCCTGGCAGCCTGGCTAGAGCCCACACTCTCATTTACTAAATTACAGCCAACACCATGGTCACGCGGATGGCAGAGAGGTATGCACTGGGGCAGCTCGGGTCCTCTTGCATTGGTGAGGGCAGGTAAGAAACCTGGGCCTGGCTGTGTGTATATGAAATCTCAGACTTCTCTAGCGAATGGTTCTAGATTTGGATTTGACAGAAAAAAACAATAAAAGCCAAGTTCCCACAAAGAGTTGTAGCTTTTAATTTAAGCTCCCTAAGAACATTCAAGACACAACTGCCATCTATTATCACTATCGTTTCATGAAAGCAAGTACATTTTAATTCTCAAAATAAGAAAGACATTATCAGAATCAAAAGCAGTCCTTCCCAAGAAGGGACCGTCCTTGACCTTACACCAACAAATAGACATTCCTTTGTCTTTATTTTTGGGTTGTGCTCTGGGCTAGTAAACATATATGGGGATGCCTCTGTCGCTAATCCCTCTGAATCGTTTGCGGGCAGAACCAAGAGAAATGGGTGCAGGTATAGCAGGAAGGAGTTCTTTGGAGGCCTTTTTGAAGGACCGGTGAGTACCACATCTGCTTAGGATGTGAGGCCAGTCGCTCTGGGTCCCACCCCAGAGAAGCGCGGGGACCTCGTTCTGAAGGATCTATCCTCAGATCCACCAGGGTAGCCCTGGAACCTAAAACAGTCCCCTCAAGCAGCCATTTCCTGCCCAGAGTTCACGGCACGTGATAGGTGGTCCCATGGCAATGGGGAGGCCTTCTGGGGCCTCTGTCACTCCTTCTTGCAGGCAGTCTCTGTAGTCACCCACCTTGGGGCTGGATAGAGTGCTAGGAATGACCCTTGAGGAGGGTCTAGGATGGAAGAGAGGAATGGAAGAGACTGGCGGCGTAGGAGTGTGTCACCTGCAGACGGGATGTGAAGGGTGAAGGCTCTGAATGCATAGGCCTGACTGGCTGCAGCATCTATGGGATGCTGTCTCCCTATTTCTTCACCTCCCTCGAGCCTAGGTGCAGCCCAAGACCCAGAGCCTTCCAACAGGAGCTCAAAGCCAGGCAGGTGAAGCCCTGTTTTGGTACAATCACGCTCAGTGCTGGCTCAGGGCCTGAGCCTATCTTGGGGCTTGTCATTTCCCTCTTCTGTACCAGAAGGTGAGGCCAGAGGGTGTGGGAACATTGTGAAGAATGGGGAGAAGGAGGGAAGGGTCTTGCCTGCTCCATCCTAGTGGTCGAGATCAAGGCCTCCCAAGCTGGACTCTCATCCCGCTCATCCTGCTGGGGGGTGACATTTTCTGACTCTGGAGAAGCCCTCAAGCCTCATGTGCTCTGTGTGTGTGTGTCGGGGCGGGGGGTACTCCCAGATTTAGGCCCCCATCGTTTAAAAGTGCAGACCTACCCAAAATTTAATCCTGGGGTTTTAGAATGGTAAATCTGGATACCCTCAGGTTATAAATGCAGAAACTGAGACCCAGGCCAGGGCAGTTCCTTCCTCTTCCAGTGTCACAGTGGTTAAATGGGCCTGGAGCCCCTGTATCCAGACTCTCTGTCACTGTTATGCCCCCACGTCCTTAAAGGATGACAGAAGTAATGACTTGAGCACCTACTAATTGCAGGACTGTGCTGGATGTTGGAGATGCAAAGATGCCCTTAAGAGCTTCTGGTCAGACAGGTAAATACACACTTCAGGGGAACATGCAGATGCTGGAAGGTCTTTGCCTCATGACTCTGTGCAAAACTTTATAAGGTGCAGCCCTCTGACGGAAGGGGGCCCCTGCCTACAGAAACACCCTGATGCCCAGCAGAGGGTCTATGGGGAAGAGAGCAAAGATGGGAGGGCCAGGCAAGTCAGGGAGCAGGGCTGCCAGTGGGCACACCCCAAACCCCCCTTCCAGAAACTTCCAAAGGCCCCAGCCCGGAAATTGGGCCTCTGCTGCCCTCTAATGGAAGAAAGGAAGCTCTGGAGATGCCTGCTTGGGCCCCACCAACCTGGCTCCCCTAAAGAAAAGGGGACATCAAGGACCTTCCTGCCCCCAGATTTTTATTCCCTTAGAGTCTTGAGCTTCATTTCCTACAGCCTCCAAAGCTGAACCTTCTCTCCTTCCAACCTCCTCTGGCTGCCCTGTTGCCCAACCTCCACCCTCCCCCCCAGTTTCCCCAGTTTCCTTTGTTGCTCGGGTTCCAATTCTGGTACTCTGGTTCCTGGCCCTGCTAGAGTTCTGGTTCCGGAAGGCCCTTGCCAGGTGCCTCGGGCCTTGCTCCCACCTGGGCGCAAGGCGGTGCTGAAGACATGGGCATGAGCACCCCCCTGTGCCTGGGGCAGCTGGACATCCGCAAAAGTATAGTGGGCCTGGCCATGGGTGCCGGGGCCATCTACCTGCTCTACAAGGCCATCAAGGCCGGCATAAAATGCCAGCCACCCCTCTGCAGCAACTCGCCCATCTGCATCGCCCGTGAGTGTTCGGGCCCTGGGGAGAGGGCTCTGCCCCAGGAGGCACCTGCTCTCGAGGCCTCCAGTGTGGGAGGGCCCACAGGTGACTCCTCCTAGTTCCTCTCTCCTTCCTCTTTCTCCTCTCCATCTTCCTCACACCCACCCTAGAGATGCTAGCTCAGGGCCCCTGGGTAGTGGATGGCACTCAAGTGGATCCTCAGGACTCATTTGGTAGGTCTCCAAATCCCACATTCATTTTAGATCCCAGGATGCGACTGCTTGGAAGCGTGGCATCTGCAGTTCTCCCAAGGGAAAATTGGAGGACCTGCATGCCCAGAGCCTCCACTAGTCCATGTGACAACTTTGTGCAAAGTAGAAAAAGGCACTCTTTCTGCAAGACTTTTTATTGCCATCTGTTGGAATATCATTGCTATATACTGATTACGATGAAATATTACATATTACTTCATATACCAGAAAATTGTTGTAGTAAATATACAAAACTATGACGTTTATGATATAAACAACATAGCATTAGATCTGGTGCCCTTGTGCAGCACACACCCTGTTCTGCTGTCCATGGTGGTCCTGCATATAGCAAGAAGGCTTCTCTTTAGAAAAGGCAAGGCAGCCTTGTCCCCAGATCCCTCTCCCCTGCTTCCCAACCCCATTCTTTCATCACTTCTGAGTCCACAGCCTGAGCTGGGCTGGGGTGGCTGTCTAGGCCTGGCAATCGAACGAGAACGGCACGGGCGGGACTCAGGTGAGCTCCGGAGGCTCCTCAACTCTTTGGAGTGCAAACAGGATGAGTACGCCAAGAGCATGATCCTGCACAGTATCACGCGCTGTGTGTACTTGCTGGAGGCCGAGGTGAGGGAAGGGAAGCAGGAGGTCCCTCCCAGCCAGTCTGGCCCCTGACTGGCCAGACTGTGTCCTGGGACCTGTCTTCCTGGCTGATGGTGGGAGGGGTTGTGCTGAGGGGTTTTGGGGACATGGGGGGAGGGAGTTGGTGGGCCCAGGACACCCGCTTCTCCTGCCTCTTTCGTCTCTCCCGGCATACTCTAGGCCTCTGCTTGTACTGCTGATGACATCGTGTTGGTGGGCTCCATGCTGGATGACAAGGACAACAGTGTCAAAATCCAAGCTCTGAACACACTTAAAGCTTTCTCTGGCATCAGAAAATTCAGGCTCAAAATCCAGGTGAGCCCAGGGGCAAGTCGGGGGATGGAGCACACAGGGTGTCTATCATCCAAGGGTCCCTTAATGGACATAGGATAAGTGGTCATGTTCCAGAAGTTTGCGTGGGTCTGAGTTTGTAACCCAGAGATATATTTTTCCTTGGAAATAAGTTGGAAAGTGGTGGTCAGATTCCCAGCAGGGTAATAAAAACCTTTGAATCTCAGGATGAAACAGAGCTAGGGCGCTAGGAGTATCTTTGAATCCCAAGCAACGGAAAGCCCCCCCTGAGGTTCTGACACTAGCCAATTCTCTGACACCTACTGGATATCCTTCAATTCAGTTCAATTCAATTCAATTCAATTCAATTCTGACACTACCTACCTAGAGTCAGTGCAGGTTCCACATGGTAAGGGCTCACGAGACTGCCCCCACTTCAGATGCCAGTTGCAAGTCCCAGTCCTTCTGACTGACCAACTGTACATTTGGAGGTCCCCACAACCCTCTCCTCAGGTTTAATAAATCACTAGAATGACTTGCAGAACTCAGGAAAATGGTTTACTTAACGTCTACCCATTTATTATAAAAGGTGCTAGTGAGGAGCAGCCAAATGGAAGAGATGCATGGTGCAAAGTACAGGGGAGGGGTGCAGAGCTTCCACGCCTTCTCTAGGAGTGCCACCCTCCTGGCACCTCCATGTGTTGACCAGCCTGGAAGTTCTCGGAACCCTGTCATTTAGGGGTATTTATGGAGGGTTCATTATGTAGACGTGATTGATTAATCATTGGCCATTGGTGATTGAGCTCAATCTCTAACCCCTCCCTTCTCCCCAGAGTCAGGGATGGGTTTGAAAGTTCCAATCCTCTCATCATGCCTTGGTCTTTCTGGCCACCAGCCCCACTGGAAACTATCAAGGATCAAGAGTCATCTCATTAGCATAAACTCAGGGGTATGGAAAGGGGCTCATTGTGAATAATAAAGACACTTCTATCAGGAAACTGGAAGGATTTTAGGAACCCTGTGTCTGGAACCAGGGACAAAGACCAGATATGTTGTCATACCACACCCCCCTTGCTGTGTAGGCTAGGCTACTGATGCCTTCGCTACCACCATGTAGAGAAAACATAAGCCACTACATGTCAGTTCCCCCAGCTTCCTGCTGTCACGCCCCCAGTCTTACCTGTTTCCACATCCATCCTTTCCTGCTAGTGCCATGAAATGATGGTCTGTGGTCAATGTTAGTCTCCTCCTGAACCCCATCCCCTTCCTTGAGGGCCTGTCTGTCTGCCCCTCTCCTTTCCATTACTATTCAACATGCTCTGTTCCCTCCCATCTTAAAAAGCAAAACCTCTTCCTTGACCTCCGACTCTCTCTTTGGTCTATCTCCCCCAAATTAAATAACTATTTAAAACTTACAAACATTGTATATGTGTACAGTAGAAAGAATAACAATAAAACCATGCATAAGTAGAACCCAGGCTGAGAAATAGAACGTGACCAATAGGTTAGATGCCCCCAAAAGCACCTCCCCAATCACACCCTTCACCCTGCGCCCCCAGAGGCAATCATTTCCCCGCATTTTGTTGCTCAATTCCTTGGTTTTCTTTGTAGTTTTACCATATACACATATATCATCTTATATTCTAGAATGGCAAGGCAGACGATAAAGGAATAGGTAAAATATAGTTTGGAATGTTTTTAAGCTTCATGTATCTGGAAGTGTGTAGTTTGTATTCTGTGGTTTGCCTTTTTCTCCCCGACATTGAAAGAGTCATCCTTATTAATGTGGATAGCTGTTTCCTGCTTTCCCACTGCTGTCGGGTACCCTAGTTCACGAGTACCCTGCAATTTTATTTATCCACTTGCCCATGGGGAGGCATTTCCACGTTGTGCCTTGAGCATTCTTGTACACCTCTCCCTTGTGGGCATGGGAGACTTTCTCCAGGGTAAGCATGCAGGAGTGGAATGACTGGGTGAGAGGGTACTCCCATCTTTTCCAGAAGGATCGTATCAATTTTCACCCTCCACCAGCCCTGCCTAAGTGTTCCTGTTGCATCATTTCCTCCCCAACACTTGGTATTTTCACACTTTAACTCTTTTGCATCACACTTTTTGGGAGAAGAAAGTCTTTAGCTCTCCACTTGCTGGCTGCCTCTACTTCATCCGTCAGCCCTCTCAGTTTCCCTGTGATTCTCAAGCGTATCGGAATTACTTGGAGAGTTGAGTAAAAGCAAAGATTTCAGGGCCCCACACCTAGAGAGTCCAGTTCTACAAGGGAGCTGTTTTTTTCAAAAGCCCCCCCAGGAGATTCTGGTGCAGGTGGCCTGGGTACCACTGTTCCTTCTTTCCCCAGGGCCTGTATCCAAGGACCTGAACTCTGTTCTCCTCTCTCTAGGTGAAAGCAGCCATTCCCTGGCCTCAGTTTCTGTCTAGATGTGCTTTCCTGCATCTTTGTCTGCAGCCTGGGGCCTCCCTTGACCTCTAGACCCATGGCCAGCTGTTCCTCTTACACAGCCTAGTGGCCATCTGACCCTAGACGTCCAAGATGGACCTTGCCTCCATTCTCTAAGTCAGACCACCCCCTCCAGAGGGGTCTGATCCCATCAACCCCTGGACTCATCTTCCTCAAGGCTCTCAGAGTACGGGGCACCATCAGTTCCACCTCCTTGCCCCAACCCCAGCCATTTACACTGTATGTTTCATGCTCTCCCGCTCCCTGGCGCTTGCACCTGCTTCCCCCTCTGCCTGAAACCCCACCCCAAACTTGTTAACTCCTGCCTGTCCTTCAGGTCTTAGCAGACAGCAAGGGGTGGAGGCAGAGAGGGCAGGGTACTGTTGGGAATGCTGTGGTCCTCACTCCAGGATTCCAGCCTCCCATTTATGTGCCTCACAAAGGTACAGCTTGTGAGGTTCCCTGTCTTTAGTAATACCTCTCGGTCCAAGCATCTTGCGTCTCAGAAGCCCAGATCCCTTTATTCATTCAACAAATGTATATGGAGCGCTTACTTTGTGCCAAGGCACTGTGCTCATCATTGGGGAGACAGCAACCGAACAGGAAAGATCCCTGTCACAATGGAACTTATTTCTAGCAGGGCAAGGCAGGCAATACACAAGTAAAATATAAAGTGTTTCATGAGACAAGTGCTATAGAGAAAAATAAAGAAAGGGTAAGGAAGGCTGGTATGGGGTTGCAGTTCCAAAGGAGAAAATCTTTGGGACCTAGGGCTTGATGAAGAGTTCGTAGAAATGACACCAAAAGAATAATCTATAAAAGAAAAAAATGATAAATTGAACTTCATCAAAATTGAAAACGTTTGCTTTGTGAAAGGCCCTGTTGTTAAGAGGATGAAAAGAGAAGCTGCAGACTGGGAGAAAATATTTGCAAACCACACATCTGACAAAGGACTCATATCTAGATTACGTAAAGAGCCCTCAAAACTCAATATTAAAAAACAAATTATCCAATTAGAAAATGGGCAAAAGATATGGAGATATTTCACTGAAGAAGATAGATGAATTGCAAATAAGCACCTGGAAAGTTGTTTAACGTCATTAGTTATTAGAGAAATGCAAATTAAGAACCACAATGAGGTATTACTATAGACCTATTGGATGATTTAAACTCAAAATTAGTGACGATACGAAATGCTGGTGAAGATGTAGAGAAACTGGATCTCTCATATGTTGCTGGTGGAAATGTAAAATGGTACAGCAGCCACTCTGGAAAATAGTTTGGCCGTTTCTTAAGAAACTTGACTGTACATTTACTATACAAACCAGCAATTGCACTCCTGGGCATTTATCCTAGAGAAATGAAAACTCACATCTGCGCAAAAACCTGTACACAGTTTTTCATAACATCTTCATTTGTAGTAATCAAAAACTGGAAACAACCAAAATGTCTCTCCATAGATACGTGGTTAAACAAACTGATAATCCATACCCTGGACACATTACCCAGTAACGAAGAGGAATGAATTGCTGATACACATGACTTGGATAGATCTCAAGGGCATTATACTGAGTGGAAAAAAAACAATCTCAGAAGGTCACAAAACATAATTCCATTTATATAACTTTTTTTTTTCTGGGAAAGATTCGCCCTCGGCTGACATCTGTTGCCAATCTTCCTTTGTTTCTTTTTCCCTCTCCAAAAGCCCAGTACGTAGTTGTATATTCTAGTTGTCAGTCCTCCTCATTCTGTGTGAGCTGCCGCCAAAGCATGACTACTGACAGACAGGTCGTGTGGTTCCGTGCCCGGGAACCGAACCCGGGCCACCCAAGCAGAGTGTGCCAAGCTTTAACTGCTAGGCCGTCAGGGCTGGCTCTATGTAACATTCTTAACATGACAAAATTACAAATATGGAAAACAAATTAGTGGTGGCTAGCGGAGAGGGTTGGTTTTTTGTGAGGAGGGGTAAGTGTGACTACAAGGGGGTCCCACGAGGGAGATCTTTGAGGATGGGACGATTCTGATGGAATAATCTGCTGATCGCAGCGGTGGTTACGTGAATCTGCATATATGATAAAATGACGTAGAGCCACGTTGCACCAAGACCAGTTTCCTAGTTTTGGTATTGTATTATAGTTATGTCAGATGTAACTGTTGAAGGAAACTGGATGAAGAGCACAGGGGGCCTCTCTGTACTATTTTTTGCAACTTCCTGTGAATTTATAATTATTTGAAAATAAAAAGTGTAAAAATAAAAAGCATGTTACATGTGACAGTGCTATGGAGAAACATAAAGATGAGGGATAAAGAAGTCTGGGATGGGAGTGGTGTTGCAGTCTTAAAGAAGGGGGTGGTCGGAGAAGGCTCACTGAGAAGGTGAGATTAAAGCAAAGTCTTGAAGGCGGTAGGAGAGTGAGCTATGAATATCTGGAGGGAGGGCATTCTAGGTGGAGGGAACAGCCTGTGCAAAAATCCTGAGATAGGTGTATACGTGGCATGTTCAAGGAATAGCTAAGAGGCCATCGTGATGGGAACCATGGGAGCAAAGGGGAGAATAGAGGAGGTCAGAGAAATAATAGGCAGGGAGGGGCAGATTGTGTCCAACCTTGTAGGCCACTGCAAGGAGTTTAGCTTTTACCGTGAATGAACTAGGGACTTTTGAGCAGAGAAGCGACATGTCTAACATGTCTGCTGTCCTGAAAATAGATCCAGGGGGGCGAGGATGGGAGCAGGGAGAGGAGGCTATTGCAGAGATCCTGGTGAGAGATGGTGGTTTGGAACAGGGTGGCAGAAGGGAGATGGTGAGAAGTGGCTTGATTGCTGATAGATTTTGAGGGTAGAGCCAACGGGATTTTCTGAAGGATTGGAAAATAGTTGTTAGAGAAAGAAGATAGTCAAGGAGGACCACGCATTATTGGCCTGAGTAACTGGATGGAAGGTGTAACCAACGGCTGGGACAGGAAGGCGGTGGAAGGAGCAGGTTTGGGGGCCGGGAGCATGTTAACTCTGAGAAGTCTATTAAGCATTCTGGGAAAGAAGTGGAAATGGTACCTGAATATATGAGTCTGGAGTTCAGGGAGAGATCTGGGCTGGAGACAGAAACCTGAAAGGCATCAGCATATGGGTAGTATTTAACGCTGTGAGTCTGGATGGTCACTAAGGGACTGATGAAGATAGAAAAGAGGAGGTTGGCAGAAGAACCGGGAAAGAAATCTGTGAAAGAGAAGCCAAGTGAAGAAAGAATTTGCAAGAGGTGAGAGTGGTCAGCTAGGTCAAATAATGTTGAAAGTTTAAGTTGGAGGGAAGTGCTGTCGGGTTTGGCTCAGGCATCATGGGTGAGGGCAGTGAGAGGGAAGGCAGAGGCTGGGGTGGTGTGGGAGATCCCTGTATGAAAGCAGACCCTGCTCCTCCCCTTCCCCCAGGAGCAGTCCATCAAGGTACTGGAACTGGTCTCCACCATCTGGGACTCAGAGCTGCACATCGCAGGCCTCAGACTCCTCAACAACCTCCCACTGCCCGACTTTGTGCATCCACAACTGCGACGGGTGATGCCTGCCTTGATGGATATCCTGCAGTCAGACTACATCCTGGCACAGGTGCCTGAGGACCACGGCCCAGGCCCTGCCCTCCTGACTAGCCCTGGCACAGCACCTAGAGGGAGGAGCAGTGATTTGTGTCTTCCCTGCTCAGGCCCAGACTCATCTGCCTTCTCATGCTTTATTCTTTCCTGTATTCAGGTGCAAGCTGTACGATTGCTGAGTTACCTAGCACAGAAGAACGACCTTCTCTATGATATTCTCAACTGCCAGGTGAGAAGGGAACTGAAGAGGGGCTGATGGATGCCAGCTCAGGTATTGAGGAAGGATGAATTGTGGATTCTCCAGACAGACGTAACCCTAAGAAAATCGTCTTGTTCCTCTCCCTGCCTCTGCACTACATACATTGAAAACCATCCCCTCTTCCATTCTCCTGATAGAGTCGGAATCTATTTTGTGGAAGGGGGATTCTCCTTTGAGGGGCTTTCTGAACTCTGAGAGTCAGGAACACAGGTGACAAAACAAAAGTTAATGCAGGTATTTTAATATTAGGAAAAAATTATAACAAAAGCCATTATTAGGAATAGACAGTCACTACATGATTAATGGTTCAGAAAGATAAAGCAACTCTAAACTTATATGAACCTAATAACATAATCTCAAAATATATATGACAAAACCTGATAGAATTACAAGGAAAAAATTTTTCCTTTTTCAGTTTTATTGAGGTATAATTGACAGATAAAATTGTGAGATATTTAAAGTGTATGTTGTGGCGATTTGATATACGTATACATTTGTGAAAGGATCCCCACCATCTAGCTAATTACCATATCCATCACCTCACATATTTATCTTTTTGTGTGTGTGTATATGTGAGAACATTTAAATTTTACTCTCTTAGCAAATTCAGTTACAATGTTAATTCAATTACAAATACAATGTTGTCAACTACCGTCACCATTAGATCCTCAGACCTTATTCATCTTATAGATGAAAGTTTGTACCCTTTTACCAACCTCTCCCTATCCCCCCAGCCCCCAGCCCCTGGCAAACACTTTTCTATTCTCTGTTTCTGTGAGTTTTGACTTTATTTATTTTTTTTTGAGTGTCCATATATACGTGATACCATGCAGTATTTGTCTTTCTCTGCCTTATCTCACTTAGCATAATGTCCTCAAGGTCTGTCCGTATTGTCACAAATGGCAGGATTTCCTTCTTTCTCACAACTGAATAATTATAAGGAAAAATTGACACACCTACCACCACAGTGGAAGATTCGGAAGGTTTTAACGACTCTTTCAGAAGTGAAGAGATAAAAACCTGAAACTAGTAAGGGTATACTTGCTGTGAATAATGCAAATAAGCTTGAGCCCTTAGACATACCCAGAACACTCTACAATTAGTAAATGTACATTCCTCTCAAGCGCACAAAATATTTATAAAAATTCACCACATGCTAAGCTTAAAGGTTTGTCTCAACAAATTTCCCAGAATCAATATTATTATCATATCTCGTATGTTCTGACCACAATGCAATCATGTTAGAGAATGAGATAAAGGAAAACTGAAAAATTCCTATACAGTTGAATCTGAAACTTAGGTATGTTGGGGAGTTGAGGCAGTTGGAAGATGAAAGAAGAATTTCAGAACTTGCCTTGGATTTCATTCCCATCCTCTCTCTATCCTCATCACAGGTGCGCTCCAACTTCCTGAACCTGTTCCAGTCCACACAGCCGGGGAGTCTGCTGTTCGAGATACTGGTGTTTGCTGAGCGGCTGAGTGAGGGCCGGAATTCACCCCACTACCGGGCCGTGAAATGGCATTACAATGAACAGTCTCTGCATGAAGCTCTCTTTGGGGATGAGTCACGACTGGCAGACCGGCTGCTCGCCCTGGTCATCCACCCCGAGGAGGAGGTTCAGATTCAGGCCTGCAAGGTCATAGTCAGCCTGCAGTGCCCCCAGGACGTGAGAGTCCGGCCCTCCTGCCAGCCCAGCCATTCCTACTTTAATAACGGGGAATAAAATTAAAGAGAGCCAATAAATGAGTATGGGAGAGAAGCTTGAGGGGCAGTGTCTGTCCAGGGCCTTCCAGGGCTGAGTGGAGATTTCATCCAGCATAACCTCTGCCCCAGAGCCTGACAAAGCATGGGCACGTCTCCCAAAACACATCCCCACTTCCCTGTTTGGGGGACGGGCTCCCTTCTCTTGCTGCTTTTCTAATTTGAACGTGGAGCCAATGCTTTTAGAGAGTTTCGGGGAGAAGATGCGTTTGGGGACTGAGGCCATAGATAATCAACAGGGGACAGTACAGCACTGGCCCACTCAGGATGGGCTAGGCAATGCCCCAGTGACACCCAACCTCCAAACCTCTGTGGCTTAAAAATGGCCAAGGTTATTTCTTATTCACACTACATGCCCATCACAGGTCAGCTGGGGGATAGAGGGGCAGGCGTTTGTCCCACCTCATCTCTCAGGGACCCAGGCTGAGGATGGCTTTCCGCTGTGTTCCTCCAACTCCTAGAGAAGGAAAAGGAAATGTGGCAGTGATCACTGGCTCTTAAAAGTTCCACCAGAAATGATGCTCATCACTTCTGCTCACGTTTCACTGGCCAATGTGCGTAGGGACGATCCGTCTTATGTGTGTCGAAGGAAGAACTGAAAATATTTGGTGATAGCCTTAATGACAGACGACTGCAGTCTTACTGGGGAACAGTGAGAGCTCTGGAATCAGACTTCCAGGTGTGAATTCCAGCTCTGTCACTTACCAGCTGTGTGACCTTGGAGAAGCCGTGTACCCTTTTTGAGCCTCAGTCCCCTCATCTATAAAATGAATATGATAATAATACTTATCTCATGAGGCTGTTGGGAGGATGATATGGGGATTAAGTGATTTAGTGAATGTAAGGCATGGTGTTCTGCATGCAGAGGGTGTTCATCAAAGATTGGCTCTGATGAGCTATGAAATCAGCATTGAGAGAATGAACAGTTAGCACTGGAAAAGACCTTGGAGAGCATTGAGTCCCATGTGTCTCCAGTCTCTTTGGGTTACAGGCACTGGGGAATCCCAGAGCCCTCTAGAAGCACCCCAAAATGCCACTGGAACTTAGCTTGAGAAACCAGAGTGATTGTGTGAGTAATATAAAACTATAACCATGAAGTCTACAGAAACAAGAAGACTGTCAAACCAAATATGGCCACCCATTTTCAGATTTTCCCATTCATGGCATTTCCCCCTTATTCCTTCACTGTGTTATCTGTGAGCCCTTACTGGCAAACAAAGAGTGGTGGTTGCTAATGGTTTGGGAAAAAGTTAATGTTAAGGGAGAAACCCCTAAAATTGGAGCTATTCACAGTCTGCTCCTGCTTCATTTAGGAGGCAGAACGTGTTGGCTCAGCTCTGGAACCCTGGTGTTCTTCAGAGGCACGATTTGAAAACCGCAGTCTGGTCCAAGGCCAACTCTGGCATTTTGCTGAATAGAAAACAAACCCAAAGAGCAAAAGTGACTTGCTCAAGGTCACATGACTGGTCTGGGGCAGAAATAGGATTAGAATCTCCTAGCCTTGGGCTTTTTGCTTCCATTTTCCTTGGCCCAAGCCCGGTGAGAGTGGCCCGTGGATTCTAATCCAGAATCTGTGGCAATTGAGAAAGACCTCACTGCTTCTGGCTTTTAGGGGCCAGTTTAGGACTGAACTACTTGAGAAAATTTGTTCCCACGGAATCCTTGACCCAAGACCTCATCACTTGGGTAGGTGGGGGGGTGGGGGGGGTGGTAGATGGAGGGTTGTGGATAAAGATGCGCTGATCAGAGGGAGCCAGTTCCTACTAAGGGAGCATCTCCCAAAGTTTGACTTGTCACCTCTGAATGGACAGTCACTATCAGATCTGAATCATCAGCTCTCATCAATATCCTGAGTTCAGGGCTGAGGCTGCTCCTTCGTGCTGCTTGGGTGCACTGCAGTCACCCCAATGGAACTTGTCACAAACCATCATCATCCTACCCACCCCTCAGCCAGCTCCCTGTGTTCTTATGTCACCAGCTAGGTATTAGGCGTCACCTTCAACTTCTCCTCCCCACCACATCCAACCAGCTGTTTCGAACATATCACATCCACCCAGTTCTGCAACCTCTGCTGCTGCTACCCTATCCCCCGTCAGGACTTTTGGACAGTCATTTTCCTACTTCTGGTCTCCAGCCTCTCCAGCCCTACACACTCCAGGCTAATCTTAGAACCCAACATTGCATCATCCTCAAAAATCTTCAGGGGTTCCCCACTGCCATAGTGAACTTTTTCTTAGCCCCAAGGCTAAGGCACATGATCTGACAAGTATAAATGTACTGACAGCAAAAGCAGGTTGAGTTTTGTCCTTGAAGGATGGTCACTGCATCCCTAATAGCACCAAATGAATTAGCTTTGCATTTAAGACTCTTCCCAATCTGGTCATCTTCCTGCCACTAATCTGCCATGTCGAATCTCTTCTCCAGCCAAACTGGAGCAAAGGAGTCACCGCTGACCTAATCTTACCAAGTGTGATCTTGCCTCTGAGATTTGATACACACTTCTCCCTGCCTGTAATGCCCTTCTCTCTCCTTTCCACTGGGCTGTGTCCTGTGGTGTCATCCAAATTGAACCACGTTCTACCACAGCCTAGAGCTTTCTTCACCTGTTCCAGCCTTCGCTGCTTCCTGCAGCTCTTCTCATGTGAACTCTCATTTGGCATTCGGCAGACTAAAGCTTGGACCTTATCAACTTTGTTCTTCTCTTTGCAGTAGGTCATATCTGACTGCTTATAAATGCTTTGAAGGAAGAGGCTGCTCTGGATAGGCACATGATAACTATTGGCTGGCGGTCATGAAAGAAGAGTTGGCAGTGGGCAATGAGGTAGGGAGGGGTGTATTGGTTATCTGTTGCTGTGTAACAAATTTTGATAAAACTTAGTGTGTCAGTCTGAGTCATTCAAGAGAGAAACCACGCAGTAACTTGAACAGGGAAATTTTATTTACTTCAACAGGGGATTAGAGTAACAAAGAATTGGTTAATATGGAGTAAAGAGAACTCTAATATATGAATAGCAGACATGGGAGGAGCCCCTACCCCCAGGGCTGAGACTGAGATAGAGCACCGAAGGAAGAGAGACCCACCCCCACCCCAAGGGGAAATCCAGAACTTGCTGAGGAGAGCACCAGATGGCAGAAAGGTCATCGTGGTGTCATGCCAGTGGAACTTGCAGAAATCTGCCCCCTAAGATGCTCTTCACAGGGAGGTGTTAAACGAAAGGCACTCACTCCAAAACTGCCTGAGCCGGGTGTGGGAGCCTCCATGTGCTGTAGGAGCCTGGCATTGTAGAACCTCTGAGGGCTGCAGGAGTTTCATGCTGGAGAAGCCACATGCACAGGAGGTGCTGGGTGCTGGAGAAGCTGCAATAGCTGTAGGAGTTGGAGGCACTTGGCTCACACTACTGCCGAAGGCAGGAAGTGCCAGGGGAAGCTGCTAGCCTCTGGGTGTTGCTGGCCACTCCAGGAACTGGGCACTGGTGAAAGTGTTTGCACTGCAGGAGCCTGCCAGTTGAGTACACTAGAACCAGGAAGCAAAAGCCTTTTCCTCCTGCAGTGTCTCTCCAGCTCCCTCCCTCTTAGCAATTTAGAACATCAATAAACATTTGTTGTCTCTTACTGGAATTCAGGAGCAATCTTGGCTGTGTGGTTTTGATTAAGTCAAGCTGTGCTTGTAGTCAAGCTGTTGGCCAGGGCTGCATTCATCTAGAGGCTTTACTGGGGCTAGAGGATCCACTTCCAAGATGGCTTGCTTATGTGGCTAGCAAGTTAGTGCTGGCTGTTGGCAAGAGGCCTCAGTTTCTCTGCCTAGAGCATCTCCACAGGCATGCTTGAGAGTCCTTGACATAGCAGCTGCCTTCTCCTAGACTGAATCACCCAAGAGAGAGCAGGACAAGAGCTGCAATGCCTTCTCTGACCTAACTTCAGAAGTTATACCTTCCACCACGTTCTGTTAGTTAGAGGTGAGTCACTGGGTCCAGCTCACATTCAAGGCAAGAGGAATTAGGCTCTACCTTTTGAAGAGAAGAGTGTCAAAGAATTTGTGAACATTTAAAAACCACCACTGGGGCCAGCCCTATGCCCTAGTGGTTAAGTTTGGTGCACTCCACTTTGGCAGCCTGGGTTCAGTTCCTGGGTGTGGACCTACACCACTTGTTGACAGCCATGCTGTGGTGGCAACCCACATACAAAACAGAGAAAGACTGGCACAGATGTTAGCTCAGGGCAAATCTTCCTCAGCAAAAATAAATAAATAAAACCCACCAGAGGTGGCATCGATCAACAAAGACTAGTGGAACACTTACTGCGTGCTCAGCAGCTGGCTGCATCTGTCTCCCTGTACAGAGGTTCTCTGCCAAGAGGAGGACATGCATAACCAGTTGTTGCCACCCTATCCCATCCCTCAGTCTTCCTACCAGCTGGTTAGCTTGTTTCCTTACCAGCAGACTTCTTTTTACCTTCAGGCAATTATATTTCCAAGGAAACATCTCTTTCCATCTTTTCAGTTGATTCTAAGAAGACTTCATAGAAGAAAGGGGCTTGAATTGGATCTCCAGAAAGGAGAGAAGAGAGTAGGAAGAGCTTTCCAGAGTGGGAAGCCACTTGAACTTTACCAAAAGGGAATCCAGTCAGAGTTTCCCTCTGATCGGATTGTGGTAGTGGCTGGGGTGCTGCTAGATGGCATTTGGCCAGCCAGCCAATTACTCCTGTAACTGATTCCTGAAGGAGACGTGTGAGAGAGACAAGGGAACTCCAAGCCGCTCTCGATGGCTTCCAGCAGGACCCCAGCACAGGCTTCTCAAGCTAATGGGGCTGGAATCCCTGGCTTTGTCGTAAGGCTTAAAGCAGAGCCCCTCTTCTCTCTAAGCTCACATGTTACCACTAGCTGCTCTCTGAGCTCAAAGCAGTGAGAACTCCAGAGTTGCTCTTATGAGCAGAGGAACAGAGAAAAGGAAGAGAGGATTTCACTTTTTATGAAAGAGGAATCCTTTTGTCATCAACAAA